AGGGAACTAAAAACAAGATAGGGTACTCAGTGTTCCAAAAACACTCATGTGCAGCCCTGTGTCCTATTACAGATTTATTACACAGAAAATGATGACATGCAAGAGTTTAAAACAGTCATTTTATGTTTTGTATAATTGTTTTTCAAAGTGTAAAAAGGGATTTATAGCTTAACCTTTAAACTATAGTAGATCATAAGCAGAAAGTAGAACAACAACACCTTAAATAAAGTGAAAGTTGCAAACCTGTACTTGTATGCTCTCTTCCAATGGTGCTGGGCACTGTAACGCTGCTCCAGACCAGTGGTGTTGGTGGCGCTGTGGACACGCCCACGTCTGTGGGCCGCATACCACATGTTGGACGTATTCCTCTTATAGCTGTATATTCAGGCTATATTTGCTGCAGAATGCCTCTCGGATCTAAAGACACCTCCTTACTGATATCATCGGTGGACAAAACTCCAAAGCGCCTGGAAGCTTTTGTGCGCCACTCGATTCTGTTGTATGTTTTAAGATCTGTTAACTTTGCAGCCTGTGAGATATACATCATGTGAAATGCATGGAGGCAACCTGTGGTGAAACTTTCAAGTTTGGTGCATTTGGGGACAGACAGCGCCCAATGAATGAGCGGCTACTCTGACGATGCTGCCCGATCGTCGCCGGTCGACACGCCCCCAGCATGGATACACCGAGCAGGAACAGGCGCTCAGGAGACACGCACTATGCTGGAGACTGTTTGAAGCCGCGATGGGAGTTAACGCATCCAAGTTTCTAGACTTCTTGTTCTTACCAGCGTCGTTGCGCTAAACAAAGACTTTGGGTTTCTGTTGTTTTCTCGCTCGCTCGCTCTCTCTAAAGGGAGGTTGTCTGCATTTCTGTCCTAGGCGTTTCTTGCACAGGATGTTGATGATATTGGAAAGCCGGGTAAGATCATAAAGTCAGTTCTCTCTGATGAGAACGACCTCCACCACCACTACACAAAGGGAACCACGGAACAAGTACTTTTTCTTCCCCTCTCACGGGATCATTTTTATTTGATTTTTGTGAATGTCATTAAGAAGCAGAGGGGGCTCTTTCAAAGACAAAATGGATCACTTTGCAGCAGAGTGCCTTGTTTCAATGTCCAGTCGTGCAATTGTTCATGCTCCTAAAGGGAATAGGGAGATTAAACCAGAAATCCCATCCTCCTCCAAGAACGGGGAGGAAATTAAGGAACCTTTGGTGAAGGATAACTCCTCTCTTTTTGTGGTGGCGCGGATTCTGGCGGATTTTAACCAGCAGACTCCCAACAGTGTTGCCGAGCAGGCAAAAATAAAAGATGAGAGCATGCCGAACCTTAGAGATGATGGAAAATCTGCCACACCTTCCACCATCTCCGATCCTTCGCTCAAACAAAGAGGCAAAAAACCGCGGGGACGAACTGAGCAAGAGCCGCCTCAGAAAAAGCACAAATGCCACTATTCAGGTTGTGAAAAAGTTTATGGCAAATCATCCCACCTCAAAGCCCACCTAAGGACACACACAGGTCAGTTTCATTGGGTGCATTGGATGTTTGTTGCTGTGAATGTGGGTTTCCCTTATGTATCTGAGAACGGATGGGATGATTTAAAACACTGAGATACCAAAAGTGTGGATTCTCGTACATTCATAGCGCTATGTGTACAGAGGAGGTGATTGCTGTGTTTCGAGTCAGTGACTCATAAATATTCACCCACGGATCCACCCTGAATGGATACTATGAGCACAGTGGCCTCTATAGTTTCATAATGCAGTTGTGCGAACTTTATGAAATGTCCTTTTAATTTCGGTTGCGGGGGTTAGAAAACAGTGCCACTCCCACTCATGTCTCAGAGCTTTGTGACGGCTTTCCTTTAACCCCCCACCTTACTCACGCACACGCGCGTGCGCGGGAGCACACACATACTCACAAACAAACCCCACCGCATGGAACACTGTGTTCAAACTGCAGCGCAAATGCAGAACAAAATTACACAGATCAGATTTCGGGCGTTCTTCTGTTCGCTTTAATTAAAATAAACTTTGGGTTGTACCACGGCAACACGAGAGTCGAAACCCTACAAAATACAGCCTAATGTCCCCATTAGAGAATAAGCCAAGTGTGCAATAAATAAATGTGGGCATGCTGAAAGTTTGCAGTCCAGCAAGTGCGCCGTCACACCGCTGAGACAAACCCTTGCAAATGCGCTCCGGATCGGCAGTTTGCTACCTGTGACCTTCCCAAAGGATACCTCCACAGCTGCGCTTTGCATTCCGCAGAATATTCTACTGAGATAGTGAAGGATGTAGATCGACTCAAATTGGGGGGTTGATAAGAGCTGTGCAGTAGCCTGTCTGCCCAAAGCCCTTTGTTGTGATGTGCCACACCCCCGCTAGACAGACTGCCAGCTGATCTGGCCAGCAACAGACTCAGCTAGTTGAGCCTCGACTGAGGAGCCTTTGCTTTTCCCCTCCTGCTCTGTATACTGCAGTTCATCATCTTCTACACACATACCGAGCTGACGGACCAGAAACAAAACAAAACCTTTATCACAGGAATCACATACAAATTTATTGTGTGAACTTGACTCATCTTAATAATTGTTATGAATAGAGAAAGAAATCAAACCAGAAAATTGAAACTATGTGGAATAGATTCCCCCCCCCCACCCATCACTAGATTTACAGGGTGTGGGAAGAGCTGTCCATCTAAAAATCAGGCTAAAATTAGGCACAGGTTGTGAAGATTTATGCAATCATTTGCTGTTGTCATGTTGCAATCAAGTTTTCTAAAATTGTTATTGAAAGTAATAGTTTTTATTTATCAGCTGCAGGTGGTGGCAACTGTTGTAGTAGCAGTATGCAATCAGTGTTTGTCAAGGGAAGTTAAGAGAGTGAAACACAGATTTGGTGCATGCATATGCATAAAAAAGGGCTCTAGCTTTTTCTTCAGTTGCATCCTAAAGGACATGAAAGGTCTCTCTACTGATGCAGTTCTATTGCTGTCACTCAGCCCTGTCCTTGTCCTTTTGCCTATTAGCCATTTCCTTTCTTCTGGGATTCACTCCCCTATGGCTTTGTGATTGGTTTGCAGTCTATAATTTCTTATAATTGGGCTGGTTTCTGCTTATTTTACCTGATAGTTAGAGAGCGTGAGTCATCTCAGTTAAGCTGCCTTTTTTTCTCAGCCAAACTTCCAGCAGGACTCTCAAAGAGCCAGCCTTCAGCATTCAGCGGTGCTTCTCCTGAGCCCAAACCATGTGAGCTTAGTGCAGTTTCATTGCTCCGTATTAACCCTGCCCTTGTCTCTGTGCCTATTAAGCATTTCCTTTTTTCGCCTGCCTTTCTGTTTGGATACAATTCGGCGTCTGGCTTCACGATTGGTTTATGTCCCATAAATTGTGAAAATAATGACTGTTTCTGCCTGTCTGATTGGATAGGCCCAGAATGTGGGTCATTTGAGTTCAGCCGGGATGCCTCAGCCAATCTTGCAGTGCTTTCATAGAGCCAAAATCTGGCAGCGTGCTTCCCTTCAGCCCCTACTAGCAGAGTCAAGAGAGAATGGATCCCAGCCCAGTCAGTTCCTGCCAAACACCACTATCTAATTGAGGAGGAAAACACTGTAATAGACACCAAACAAAGAACCGGGGACAAGACGTCCTTACTTGACTCCTGTAATGCCCAAAGCCTCATCATCCCAGCCTTTGCATATCTTATGAGTCTTATTCATTAGCATCTTAAGAGAAGATGAAACCTGTAGGTTGTTTTTGTAAAGCAGTGTCTTCAGCACAATTCCATAAATAGGTCAAAACAAATCTTCCCCTTGAGTCACCATCATTTTTTATCATATATTTACATGTTTTATGTGTTATTTTATGAATGTCATTTACATGTGCTTACTTATACAGTTTATAGTAAATTTAATTAGAGTTTAGTGTACTGTAAATGTAATGTGTTTTTGTGTCTTAAACAAGCTACATTAGCTATGGAGCCTGTTTTTCCTCCAACCTGTAAGTTTTTAGGACTCTTTAGACCAGCCTTTTGCGGCCACTCCAGTTACACTCATAAACAGTGTACTGAGCATCCCTGAAATAACTGTGATTGGTTTCATTAATGAAAACTGTCCACAACAAGGCCCGTGTCACTCAGTGTGATGTTTGGGCTTTCATTTACTGTCTTTGTGTAATTGTTTGTCAGTAGATTATGTGGTTACTGCTGGCAGTAGAAAAATTTACCACTCAGGGAGAGCAAAGATGTTCTTGATCCCCTCAACGGAGATTATGAAGGGTTCATTGTAGGTTTCTTTTGAGACTCACTGTCTAATGCAGCAGACATCGAGGTACACACTGAATTTAAATTGCTCATTATGCTGCATTGAGTTGTATGGTGAGGAATGCGCAGCAGTTTAAGGGTCAAAGGTGACCAGACAGCTTTTTGTCTGATCTCCTGGTGCAGGAGGTGGGCCTTTTCTGTGAAACATGCATTAGCCCTGCAATATGGAAAATGAAGTCATGTAACACCCATGTACATATAAACTATTTACGGTGTAACATTTGAATTCATTCAAATTATTTCTTGCGTTCCTTTTCCTCTTATTTTCATGTTCTTTCTGGCTTTTTAGCACCTTTTTCACCTCTTTTTTAAGAGTGATGCTCTATTTTCTAAATAGTGTGTCTAATAGTGTGTCTTGCTTCCATAGAGAGTACATGATGTTCTTTCTGAAGCCTCATTACTCTGTTGTGGTCATCTCACCCAGACTACCATCAAAGGAGAGATGGGCCTTGACTATTCTTCGGCAATAACAGCTCAGACTTTCTGTGTCCTCCACAGCTGGGTCGTACAAAAGGCCATCTTGTCAGTGTAGAAGACCTATTCAGAATCTACTGGAATCACAGGGAGGAACAGCGTCAATATTCCTCAAAGACAAAGAGTCTAATGCCATATTTTACACTTGGGTTAATGTTTTGTCTGAACCTCTTTTGTGTTCTGCTGGAGTATCTCTAATACTGCGAGATAGCTGCAAAGCGTGCCCTAAAAATTAGTGGGAGCACCTGGTAGACCCAGTTATTCATGCATGCTGTCTATTTCCAGTCAAATAACTGTGGTTAATTACGCTTTTTAAATGTAAAATTATCCCAAGTTCCGCATGGAAAAAGCAACAGGACTCTCTGATTATATATACAACTTCACTGCCAGTGGTTTTATATTTGGCTGCACTTTTGCACAGAGTGCACAATGTTCCTGTGTGGCTGGTCGCATTGATGAGGTAGCAGGGTGGAGATGGGGTTTTCCTGCTCTTGCTTGGGCCTTAACCTTGGCACAGAAATCGGTAAAAGCTCTACTGGGGCAGGTCTGTCTGTCTACCTGCCACACGGCAGGATTTCCACCATTGCTCCCATTTGAGCTCTAATTCTGACATGTAATAAGAAGCTCGTGCTTCAGTCTTGAGACAAGTTTCCATTTGTCTCCATCCAAATGTTGTACGAGGGATGTGGTGTAACAAGCTACTTCAGGTTCAAATTGAAGCTATGGGATGGATTGTCTTGATGTTATGATTCCCTCATGGTAAAACCTAAAAAACCTGTGGCTTTTCCTGTTGTGTTAGCAGCAGGTTTAAATCTTGTTTTTTGAATTTACTGTCGCAACTTAACTGTTTGCTATTAGATTCGATTTGGGAGATTTGTACATGTTAGCTACTCTTTGTTTCAAGGGTCCTCTTTTCATTTAGCACCATAAACCTGTTGAAAGTATCATTTCTCCAGCGTTTGGTCAGCTTTACTGCTTTATTTTTCATAGTAAGTAGCAAATGTTCAATGCCAATATTCGAAACCATGACAATATAGTACTGCTGTAATAGTGTACACCTTGTTTTCTAGTGATTAGCATGTTAGCAATGTCAATTTGACAGGAATTTACAGATGCAAACATTCAAGTGTTTGTTTTTTCTGTTGTAAGAGTTCAGAATGGCATCTCTCCTGCACAACATGTTGTTGCCTTATAAAGGTCACACGTAGGACGGTATGTATCGAGTAGAACTAAGGAATCCTTTCTACTAGGGTGTAAATAAAACCAAAGTGGAGCCACCATTTTCTCTGTTATTCTGCTGGTGCAGTGTTTCTGCTCCATGGAAGACATTTCCAAGGCATGCGCTGGTGCACGTGCTGTCCATATGCTATCCTGTATATGCACATGTAAAGCTGATAGTAGGATACTTCCTTGGTGTTGACATATAAACCTGATTTCACTGTGATTAAGCACCCAGGCATGCATAGAGGACAATCATAATACTGAAAGGTCGCTGTCAGGCAGTACCCTGAGCTGTGCTGCTTTCAGTGGCCCACAGGGCTTGTGTATTCTTTAGTTAGCTCTGGAGTAGCTCTATAAAAGCTGCTCTGTCTGTTTCCCCCAGCAGCCCCTCCCGCCCTTTTCCAGCCTGAAAAGCAAAATAGGTGCTGAAGCCTGCTGTGTTGCGAGGCCGAGCCCGGCCACGTTTTGTGGTGTGGTGTTGATTACCAGCGGCAGGAAGAG